AATAGATATTAACAAGCTGACTATAAAATACGTAAGGAAAGGCAAAGGAACTGTTAGAATAGCTACAATAAAAAAAAAAAGGTCTCCTCAGGCAGTGGGGCAGGAACACACACAGGAAAAAAAATGACTCTTCAGGATGGCTGGTGAGGGGCAAAGTCCTGGAAAAAAAACCTCCAATCCTGTTGGATTTTCATTTACTTAGCCACAAAAAAAAAACCTACAGGGTATCTGGTTAGACAAATGAATCTGCAAAAAAAAAAAACTCAGCTTATTTCCAAGGACTATCTAATGCAGCAAATAAAAAAAAATGTACAAAGTGGTTCCTAATCACAAACTTCTAGGTCACAAAAAAAAATTTCTACTCCCATCCATTGCCTCACATTTCCCCCAACAAAAAAAATATTTGTATAGCTGGCATACGTTTTATGTAAAAGTTACAAAAAAAAGTTCCAGGTGTGTCCAGAGTCCTTTCACTCTCTCAGGAAAAAAAAAGGGTGCCTTCCTTCTGTCCAGAGCCCCAGCACTAGCTGAAAAAAAAGGTATGGCATTTGCTCTGTTCATCAGGTGAAGCAAGTTAAAAAAAATTATTTTCCACCTTTGGTTGAAGATTCTGAGGCTCACTGAGGCAATGTGACTTGCCCAGGGTTAGAGAATTAATAACTGGCAGGAAAAAAAATCAAACCTGGGAACCGCTTCCAAAGCTTGACCTTGCTCAAAAAAAATAGGTCCTTTCATCTCAGGGACTGCTGCTGAACCAAGAAAAAAAAACACGATGAACTAGCTACATCAATATATGGAACTGACCACCAGGCAAGGGACACTGAGTGACCTGGAGGGTAACTGAGGCAGATGGACCCTGCTCTCTGTCAGCTAATGGGACATAGGGAGCCAAGACACTAAAAAAAAGCAGGCCCTGGGCTCATCCAGTCATTAGAGTTCAGAGCAAAAAAAAAGTGTGGGATGGAATGACTCAGGGAGGAATCCTGGTCAAAAAAAAAGAGGAGAAACTAGGGAAGAAGGAGAAGAGGAGGGTGCCAAAAAAAATTCCCTGTAGGGCCTGGGTCAGGCAGCATCAGAGACAAAAAAAAAATTCCCATCCAGGTTGGGCCCTGGGTCTTAGATGCAGATAAAAAAAACTCCCTTGGTGTCACTCCTGAGACGGTGAGGGGGTCAGAAAAAAAAGGGCCCCCAGGGACACTGACACTGTGTAAAGGAGAGTTAAAAAAAAGTCTGTTCATGCCTCCCCAACAACAGGCTATACCAGCCAAAAAAAAACACTGCAGATTCATGCCTCTGGACCTTTGCCACCCAAACCTTACCATCTGGATTCCAGACTTAAAAGGCACGTTCTCCATAAGAAAAAAAACCACTGAAGGCAGGACAGTGTTAGCTGAAAGCACCTCAGAGTGGGCACCACACTCCTCTCAGCACACTCCAGAATGGCTGGTGTAAAAAAAACTTCCCACCTGGCACCTGGGCTCAACCCAGAGTGACCCAAAAAAAAGTAGGCTGTTCTCGCCTCCCAGCAGCCAAGGAAGGATGAAAAAAAACGAATGGCCTCAGGGGTCATCCCTGCAATGGAATGGAAAAAAAAAACTTTCTCCCCAGTGGCAAAGGAGGCTGTAGCAGGGGCTATGGCCTAGGAGGTTCTCTGGAATCAGCTCCTAATCCATAAGCATCAAAAAAAAGAGCCCCTTTCCAGACTTGGGGTACAAATAAAAAGCAAAAAAAAAATCCCTGGGATGGACACAGCCTCTGCCACATTCTGTTCTTCCTGGAAAGTCCATCATCCCCAAGCCCTGGACCCTGCAGTTTAAAAAAAAAAACATATAGGGTCTGGCCCTCTGTTAGGGCAACCAATGTTAAAAAAAACCTTCCTAAATAACCCAAGCAAGCCCTCTGCTCTGGGGAAAAAAAAAAGTCAGAAGAGTCTGTTTTTCTCTGGGGCCTACAAATACAGGCACAACTCCTTGCTAAGGCTAGGCTTCCTGGCAACCAAAGGAAAAAAAAAGCGGCAGGCCCTGCCAGGTACAGGATGCTAGAAGTCCACCAGCCCAAAGTCTCTAGAAGGACAGCCCTGAAAGCCAAGCTCCCAAAAAAAAGGAGGCAAACCCGTTCCACCACACTCCACTGCCTCAAAAAAAAAAAGATGAGAGCAAATCAGAAGAATGTGATGAGCTGAAGCAAAAAAAAATTCAATGTCCAGCATAGATGGTCCCTGGGCTGCAGTGAAAAAAAAAAACAGGGCCTTGCACCTGCCCAGCTCAGTGGGCTCAGGAAAAAAAATCAGAGCAGGTCCTGTGCTCCACTACAAATGACCTGTAAAAAAAAACACAGAGCAGGTCCTCACATGGCAGGGCCCCTTTTATCAAAAAAAAACTGACAGGAGCCTGGAACTACACATGCCCTTTGGTTTAAAAAAAATGTTTTCATTATGGTATATCTCAGGCACACAAAAAAGTAAAAAAAATAATCTAACACATGTACTCACCTCCTGCAGAGTCAATAAAAAAAAAATTTTGCCATATTCAAGACAGGTTTGTTCCCCCTTTTTAAAAAAAAGTTACAACAAAACCACACATCATTGGCCTGGCCCAGTGGCTCACACCTTAATTCCAACACTTTGGGAGGCTGAAGTGGGTGTTGAAAAAAAACAGGAGTTCGAGACCAGCCTGTGCAACCTGGTGAAACCAAAAAAAAGTACCAAAAAATTAGCTAGCAATGGAGGTGCGCACCTGAAAAAAAAGCTTCTTGGGAGGCGGAGGTGGGAAGATCACTTGAGCCAAAAAAAAACTTGGAGGCTGCAGTGAGCTGAGATCACACCACTGCAAAAAAAAATGGGTGACAGAGTAAGACCCCCATCTCAAAAAAAGAAAAAAAAAAAAATCACACATCACAGAGCCTTTCCGGAATCCTGTTTCCAAAAAAAATCACCAGGCGTCAATAGGAGGCATCACTCCTCATGCATAAAAAAAAACTTCTGCTTTTGCTTTCTTGGGAGCACCTGACACCTTAAAAAAAACCTGCTTCTTTGCTAACAGCCTGTCTCCCTCCAGAAAATGTCAGTTCCGTGAGGGTAGGGGCTGTACTCTGTCCACTGTTGCCTAAAAAAAACCCACAATGGGGCCCTGCACAGAGCAGACAACCAATAAAAAAAAAACTTGTCAACTGAGAAACACACATATATCATTTTGTGTTAAAAAAAATGATATAAATGTTCCTGCCCTGTATGCCTCAATTTTGAAAAAAAAATTTTCCTTCACTCGATACCATGTTTGAGATTCACAACCAAAAAAAACAGCATTCAAGCCTCTTACTGTATGACACACCCACCCAAAAAAAAAACCAGTAACCCTTCTTTCTCATCGAGGAGCGGGAGGGGAAAAAAAAAGAGAAAAAAACCCCAGCAAATCAGAGCCCAGAAACTGGAACTCAGGCTCCAGCCAGAGTTCCAGTTTTTGAGAACCTAAGAACAAAAAAAAAGACCAAAGGGCCTCTAATACGTAGCTACCACAGAATGAAAAAAAATATGCCAGCACCCACCCATAAAGCCACATATGTTGGGGAAAAAAAACAAACGAGCAACTAACTGGCCTTTGTCTTCCCATCACCATCCAGGGACCTTCAAGAGGTGGGGGCTAAGGCCCAACAAAATGCCAAAAAAAAAGTGGCAGCAGACCCACTCAGCGTTTAGCATCACCAGCAAAAAAAAATGGAGCTGGTAGCATGTCTGAACCCGAGTAGGGGGCATGGACTCTGAAGGGCTCTCAGGATGGTGTGATAACACTTTGTAAATGGTGTCTGTGATTGCTCCTGATTACAAAGGCAGAGATGAGGCCCGCAAAAAAAAAGGTTCTACTCATACTGGTGAAGGTGAAAAAAGGCTGTAAAAAAAAGAAAGCCTGCTCTGGTGTGACCGCCCAGCTTTCTCTGAAGGGCATTCCCTCCCCTCCTGCTGCCCCTATGCAAAGCAGAGCCTAAAAAAAAAAAGAGATACACCCCTGTGCCTGAAGGAAGCTGCTCAGAAAAAAAAAAATCAAGGCAACATGTCCAGAAAGACACATAGTTTGACAAAAAAAAGAGAGCGCCAGCTCAGGGCTAGGCATGGGAAGGAGGACAAAAAAAATCTGGAACTGCTGACACAGGAGTGGTAGTCAGACACTCTGTTCACAAAGATCAGAGGCACAGCTCTGCCTTGCCCCACCCCACAAAAAAAAACCAGCAAGTTTCCAGGTTCCAGATTTTGGGGAGGCAAAGTAGCATCTGAGGCTCTGTGGAGGTGGCAGCCCTCAAGACTGCGGGAAAAAAAATTGTGCCTGCAATCACGAGGGAAGGGTACCCAAGACCCAAAAAAAAGCTGTGTTTAGGCAACTTAAGTGGACCCAACCAGATGAAAAAAAAAGACAAAATAAGATAAATACTACAGAGAGAAATGAAGCCAAAAAAAAACAGAAAAATGAGACAGGCGCCCTTTGAGCCGAACGCTAAAAAAAAACCCAGACATCAAAGGTATAGGAGAAATGAGAAGGACCTCCAGGACGGACAAAAGACTGGTCAGGAAATGCTGAGTGGCCAGGGAAAAAAAAGGCCGACCACAAAGGGCTCTGGCTAGAGGGAAACAGAGGAGGTTGGACGAGGCCAGATGACCCAGGCAGAGCTTCACACGTCAGAAAAAAAAGGGGCACTTACTCAGCAGGCAATGGAGAACCATGCCACAAAAAAAATATGAGAAGGGTAAAACGGCATAATGTAAGGGCTAGAAAAAAAAAACTGGGGGTTGAATAACAGCCAAATGGAAAATGAGGGAAAAAAAAAAGAGAAGGCCTCAACAAGGGCCTTCTGAGATGTTGAGATAAAAAAAACTGAACAAGACAGCCATGGCAGAAAGAAGAGGGGAGGGAAAAAAAAAGACACTGAACAGAGTTGGGAGGACCCAGAGACTGGGAAAAAAAAAAGTGCTGGAGGAGACAGCAGAGCCTGGAGCTGCAACACGGGCATTACCTGTGCTTCTCGCCTTCTTCCTCCTCTTCTCTGAGATAAAAAAAATTTGGCTCCCCATCTTCCTTGTCCTGCAGAGAAAGGGAAAAAAAAACCAGCTCAGCTGAAAGCTCCTACTTCCAGTCCACACGGCCCAGGGAGCTAAAGAACAGGACATCTCAGAAGGGGGACACCTGGCAAAAAAAAGCTTGGTGTCCCAGACTCCAAGCAGGGTACATGCCTGCTGCATCTCATAGGCGCAACTGGAGCCTCACTGCCTGTGCAGAATTTAAAAAAAAGTAACTCTTGGCCAGATGCGGTGGCTCACACCTGTACTCCCAGCACTTTGGGAAGCCGAGGTGGGCGGATCTCGAGGTCAGGAGAAAAAAAATATCCTGGCAAACACACGGTGAAACCCCATCTCTACCAAAAAAAAAAAAAAAATTAGCCAGGCGTGGTAGCCGGGCGTGGTAGCAAAAAAAATGTAGTACCAGCTACTCAGGAGGCTGAGGCAGGAGAATAAAAAAAACCTGGGAGGCGGAGCTTGCAATGAGCCAAGATTGAGCCAAAAAAAACCAGCCTGGGTGACAGAGTGAGATTCCATCTCAAAAACAAAAAAAACAAAAAATCTGTAACTACAGCCCAGTCCCAGGTACCTGGTAGCCCTTAGAGAACACTCGCAGAAAGAGCTAGATGGCTTTAGATAAAAAAAAATGCAGCCACTTGGTGCCATGGAGGGGCCATGCTGGCAAAAAAAAAGTCACCTTCATGGGTCTAGATGGAAACACCTGCTAAGCAAAAAAAAACTGGGGGAAGAAGTCACCAGCAACCAGGGCAGGATGAAAAAAAAAGCCTCCTGAGACACCTTTCAGGCCAGAGTCCTCTCCGGAAAAAAAAATTTGGTTCGCTTTAGAAGTAACATGAACAAGGACCAGAAAAAAAACAAGACTCACTGCCTAGGCCTGTGCTACATTCAGGGAGACAGAGGCAAGGGGAATTAGTTTGAAGTTTCCATGAAAATTTTCTTAAAAAAAATCTTCTGACTTCCCACCAACTGCACCTCTTTTTTAAGTAAAAAAAATCATGTTCATTTTAACTTTGACATGTTATGCTTGTTCTAAAAAAAACTGGGGGTTACAACAGAAAGAAACTGCCATACTGCTTCAAAAAAAAGCAGAAAATGTCTTCCTGGACTTTCTCCCTTATTATGTAAAAAAAACCGTTAGGTCAGCCTGCCTGTGGACAAACTGACACAGGGCGTGTGTGCGCATGTGCAAATTCGTGTGACCACATCTCGGGCCCAAAAAAAAAACTGAGAGGTCCCAAGACAGAGCTGTTGTGGGTCTCCCAAAAAAAAAGGTTGGCACTCCAGAAGGTGACAATGCGTACTTCACTAAAAAAAAGTCCTGCCTTCCACTCTCGCAGAGCAGTGTTCTGAGAGAGATCTGTGAGCTCCTTCAGTAGGGAGCCTGCTCTGATGGACACAGAAAAAAAAGGAGCCTGCATATAAATTGTAAGTAAAACAGTTGCTTGAAAAAAAATTCCTAGAACATTTATTTATGCCATTGACAACTGCCTTAAAAAAAATGGCATCTGCTTTATGTGAAGACTGCAGGCATCGACCAAAAAAAAACATTCCTTGGCCACACAACCTCCGGGGAGCAGACTACCAAAAAAAAGTTGGAGGCCCGGCCCAGAGAAAGGCTTCTGTCATGTGAAAAAAAAAAGATGCCCCCTACCCCAACTCAGGGCAGCTCATCTCAAAAAAAAAAGGCAGCGAGAACAAAATAACTGACCAAGTGACAGCAGAAAAAAAAGAGAGGTCAACATGGAACATGGTTCTTGCGGGAGGGGTAAAAAAAATCCTACTAAGAGATGGGCTGGGCAGAATTGGGTGATACAAAAAAAAGGACAGGAGAGGGAAGGGCATTCCCGGTGGGAAGCAGAAAAAAAAAAAAGGCAGGGTGTGGTCTGAAGAGCATGCAGGTGACTGAAAAAAAAGAAGGGTGTGACGATCATTGCCAGGTAAGACAGTCAAGAAAAAAAAGGGCCAAACACAGAGGGCTCTGGCCAGTGTTCTTAAGCAAAAAAAAAACCAAGGAGAGACTGGGGAGAGTCTACCGACCCCTGCAAAAAAAAGCAGAACCTGGGGTGGACAGGCAGATGCTTGGTGATGGAAAAAAAAGGAAGGGAGAACAGAGTACAAATGCTTCACTGAGAAACAAAAAAAAATCCTCCAAATGGCTCCCAGGGCTGCAGGGACCCGGACAAAAAAAACACAGGAGCCCTGCTGGCACATGCAGCCCTCCCTGACTAAAAAAAAGCCGATGAAGCAAGCCAGAGCCTGCATATTCTAGCAAAAAAAAAAATCCCGACTCCCAACCAGCGGACACCCTGAAGGCTACTCAAAAAAAAGCCTACCGCAGGGGAAGTAGTGGCAGACACCTGCCCTGAAAAAAAACAGAGAAGGAAAAGCAGAAAGGGCTCTTCTTTCCCCACAGTGGGCTGGTGGGGCAAGACCCCCAGCCACAAAGGAAGACTCCTTAAAAAAAAGGTTCTGTTAACCTGAACCACCTGGCAGAAGTAGGCGGAAAAAAAAGGAAAGTGTCCAGCCTTTGGGAGGAGTGCTTTGCAAATAAAAAAAACTTTCTCAGCTCTCAAGCAAGGTCAAACAGCTGCCACCAAAAAAAAGGAGCCCCAGAGACATTCAAGTGCCTCAGCAAAGGCCAAAAAAAAAATTAATAAATGAGAAAACACCCAACTATCTAAATGACTAAAAAAAATGCCTAGCAATCTGGCAGGTGGGGTGCAGCACTAGCTCTGCAGACGGCATGAGGTTAAAAATGACCCCAGCTTGGGATGCTGTGAAAAAAAAAGGGGCTCAAAAAATATAAAGATCCACATCTGTGGCAGAAAAAAAAGAACAAATGAACAGGCCACATAAGTGGGACAGACAAGGAAAAAAAAAGCCTTCCTGACAAAGAGTGATTCATAAATAGGATAATAAAAAAAAATGGGAATGAAAATCGCTTTTGGTGACACTGGCCTGAAAAAAAAAATATGGCCCCTTGCTGCCTGGGACAGTGGAGGGAACAGCAAAAAAAATGAAGCTCACCCCTACCCAAGAGACTCAAAGAGCCTCAAAAAAAAAGGGCTCGCAGGATCACCCATTCTAGATCCTCAATTTAAAAAAAAAAAAAACCTGGGAAATGGCGGTCAGGGAAAAGGAAAAGATTTGTCCAAAGTCACAGAACCCATCAGCGGTAGCTGCAAGTCTGCCTAAAAAAAATCCTGATGCCTGGCCCTCGTTCTTGCCAAGGAGACGAGAAAAAAAATATCAAGAGTGGAAGAGTGGTGCCAAGTTTCTAAAGAGAAAAAAAACTACTCGCCTCTCCTGCGCTCCCCACAGTTCAGACCTGGCCCCAGTGCTCAGATACGGCCACAGCCAGCCCAAGTACAAACCTAAAAAAAAATGGACACTCAGAAGGAAAGCAGGCAGGGCCCTAGGTGCACAGCCTCCCCAGGAATCGAGAGACACTTCGCTCACCCTGGGACCTAAAAAAAAGACTCATTGCCTCACCACCCCCACCCCCCACCTCACACAAAAAAAAAATCTTGCTATCTTCTCTCTCCTTCCCAATCCCTAGTCAAAAAAAACACCTCCTTAGCTCCCCACCACAACCAAGCCCCCAGCCAAAAAAAACCACCCTTGCCAGCCAGCCAGCCAGCCTTCCCCTCTACAAAAAAAAATACAGCTGCCTCCTGCATTTTTCCCTGTTTCTCCAACAAAAAAAACCTAAGTCGCTCTCCATCTTATCAATCCACATTCCTGGAAAAAAAATCAAAGATACTGGTCAGACCACACTGCACCTCTGCTCAAAGCTCCCACTGGGTCTCCATACCCCCAGGACAATAGCCATTCATCAAAAAAAAACATCTGCTCTGTCCAGAACACTCTTACACCCCACATTAAAAAAAAAATCATGAAATACCTACTCTGATAACCCCCAAGAAAACAAAAAAAAGCCAGTCCTAGAGGCCAGGTCAAAGGCCACCTCCTCAAAGCAGCCTTCTAAGATTCCCAGGCAAAGGAATCCTCTGGGCCTACCAAAAAAAAATCAGGGTCTGACCGTAGGCCCAGGGCACAGGCCTATGAAAAAAAATATTCACAGTTGGCTTTACTACCCCTTCCCTTCAAGAACCTCTCAGCACGGGGCATCTCCTAGAGCACCTCAAGGCCTAGCCCAAAAAAAAAGCTAAACAACCTTCAGAAACTCTACCAATTGAACTGCTAAAAAAAACACCAACTCCAGAAGAGTAAACCTCAGGAACACTGATGAAAAAAAAGCAGGAGAATCATGACCTGGGCTGGGGCCCTCTCCATAAAAAAAAAGCCTATTAATGGACGTACTCCCACATTTCTCACCCCTGCCCACATCTCCACGCCTAGACCTTGCACCCATGCCCTCACCTCGTCCCAGAGCCTTCAGGAGGAAGAAGCCTTTGAGGAAGGACTTCAGGGGGTCTCAAATACAGCCCTGCTGTATTTGAGTCTGACTGACCTGTTTCAAAAAAAATGAAATCCTTTTTATCAGGGACACAACTGTTACAAATAAAAAAAAAGCTGTGCAGGGTTGGTATCATTTCTTTCTTAAATGTTCAAAAAAAATTCAATGAAGCAATCTTGGCCTGAAGTTTTCTTTGGGAAAAAAAAATAGTTATAGGACTGTACAGATTTTCTATTTCTTCTCCAAAAAAAAATACTAGTTTATGTCTTTCAAGATGTCTGTTTCACCTAAAAAAAAAAATTTACTGGCACAAAGTAACTTATATTGTTCTCTTAATAAAAAAAAAATGTCTGTAAGATCTGTAGTGATGTTCACTGATATTGCTAATTTGTGTCATTTTTCTTTATCAGACCAGCTAAAGGTTTATCAAAAAAAAAACATGCCTCCATCTCATCTCCTCAGACTTGGTATTTCAAAAAAAAATTTGCTCCTCAGTCTCCTCTCTCTGGAAGGATCCCTCAAAAAAAAAGTACACCTGCCTCTGGATGGCACATGAAGCGTGGGGGCAAAAAAAATCCACACTG